TTATAATATGGATCACATTAATGCAATACCCGATATGACACTCCTCAAAGAGGGGCTACACGTGGTATTAATGCACTGGTCAACATGTCCATATCTACCCTTACCCACCCCGTGAAGGTAATTAAAACGAGGGTTAGTCTCGATCCTTATTACATGTTGTTACCCGTCCCTTCCTATTAGTCCTGGAGGAATTTAGTACTCTTATCCTAAAAGGGGGGGGGGGGTTCTAGGCAGACTCTTAGGTTTAAAGGCAATATACTAAGCGACAAACAAGAACATATAGGACTGCAGTTAGGGGGAAAAGACAGAAACAAGTAGAAGGCTCAGGTATACCTCCACAAATAAAGCATATATACAGCATGACTTATACACAATTAAGGTCTGAATTTAAATTCTAAAGCATGGGATCTAAGTAGAACCAGATTTATTACATGACCCAGATAAGAAGTCTGAATCAGGCTTGCCTACTGATTTTAACACTTGATAGTTAAACACTAATTACAGAGATGGTTCTGGTTTTATTTAAAGTTGATTATCTAAAGCTTGCCTAGGAGTGAAGTGATATGCAGCAGTTATGTAGAGTTATTAAAACAGTTTGGAAATTATTTTTTTACCCTAAGAGCATGTTGTTCTAGTTGATACAAATGCAAGGATTATTACCAGTTATTTTAAAAATGGTATAATCAAGTGTGAAGCTGTTTTTACCTTTTTTATGATCAACAATTTACACTAAGTGTGAATGCAAGTACGAATAAGATCCTAAAACATGGTATCTAAGGTGCATGTATAAAACTCATGATGCAGAACTCCTAGAGCAGGATTTCTAAACGAAATTTCAGAACATGGGCAGAATCGCATCGTAGCAGCTTATTTTATTGTTATTATATACCCTATAGACAGGATTTCTAAGTGTGGATGAGATGCTAAAAACAGTGCATATAAATCCTTAAATAGCATGATATCTAATGCATGGCATGCTTGGCATGTTATACCTAAACATGGCTGCTATTGTGCATAGAGAAAAAGTAAATCTAGGAACATGATTTCTACTCTGGATTATACTACAACATACATATTACCCACCTCTTTTCACTATCCAACCCCAATACTTGTTTACAAATTATTACAGACCAAATGAATGAATTACATAAGTAGAAATGAAAATAAGAAGTTACACTATAGGAAGCCTGATTAGGACTTCCTCCCTGAGTTATGTAATCAATCACTCCAAGTGCCAAGGTTGTTCCATAGCCTTTTCATATCTGGGTATGTCAGAGTTCCCTAAGGACCTCAAGGGATCCCGAGCAGTGCTCACACCCAGATTTTATAGCCAAGAGAGAGTTTAGTGCAGTGTGGAAAGGCCAGCTTTCATGTGTCCAAGTTCAGAGGGAGCTCAAGGGTCCCAAGGCAAGGCTCACACAAAAGGGGCAGAACCTAGTGGTCTAAGAGTATATGTGAGAGTATAGGACACAGATTAAATAAAGGAGTTTAAAACTGGATTGAAAGGTCCATTTTTGAAGCAATTAGTAACAGAGATGGTTGAAAAGAAGTTGGATTAGCAAACAAAACTCAAATACCTTAAGATGGGATCACACACAGAATTCAAATGAATTCAATGGTCACACAGGGAGTCAAAGGATTTGGGGATACACAGACATTTGACTGCAAACACATAAACCCAGCAAGGGTCTTGGGACTGGTTTGGACATGCTCAGCAATAGTTGATACTGGTATAATCACAAACCAGTCATGAAGAATACAAACACATGGAAGGGATAGGGATTTGGGATTCATAAGAAGGTAAGTACACAACAAGTGATTGACAAGGCATGCTTTGAAACACACATAAGGGAATGCATTAATCTAAAAGGAAGGGGAGACATAATAGCATGCTAGTAATATAACTCTACTACAGTTTGCACACAAAACCACAAGTAGAAGTAGACTAGAAATAAGAGAAACTGAAACAATAAAAGAAACATGTTGTTGTTGAGGCTCTAAAATTAAAATAGGACATATGAGTTGAGGAAGCAAAATGCAAAAAGGTAAAGCAAGTAGAGTTCCACAGACTAGCCTTGGCTTTCAGCCAGCTAGACAAGCAGTTAACACAAGTAGTAGAGAAAGAAGAAAGAGTGTGTGTGTGTGTGTGTGTGTGTGTGTGTGTGTTTGAACTGTTGTCCGTGTCTTGTTAATGAAAGACTTAGGGTATTTATAGCTTTGAAAAAAGGTAGAAAATCAGGTAACAAGTAAAAGTTTAGCACAAATATGGAAGTAATCACAATTAGAATCCAATTAATACAAGTACTCCCCTTTAAACAATGAATTACAGCTTAACGGATACTAATATGGACAACTTAAGGAAAGAAAATTAGTTGAGAAAGATTGGTTTTTACCATATAAGGAGTAGTAAAAGTATAGAGTATATAATTGAGTCTAAGTACATAATATACTTAATTTGAGGAAAGGATTCAGCAAGAATGAAGCGCCACAATATATATGGGAATGAAATCAATCAACTTAAACAAACGAGTAAAATTTTAGGGGTTTATAAGAAAACCTTGCAATCAAACCATAACTTAAGGGAATCAGGATCAATCAAGAGGGAGTCACGATTCTGCACTTCGACATATAAATAGAGAAGAATGAACAGGCGTATCAGACATGCAAGGTCAATCATATTGACAAAAAGAAGCAAACTAGATGAACGCAAACATACAGAAGTGACATGAGTAGGCTAAGGACTACTCGAAGCATGGTAATAAACAAAGTCAAGTAGTCATGGCTAACACATAGAACCAGAGTGAAAAACTAACCTAACAGGTAAAGAAGATCAGGCCAACACACAGAAACAAGTAAAGAAAGTCTTTAAAACTCACAGTAACAAGTAAAGAAATCTTTAAGAAATTAGAGTTTTAATAGAGTTGAGTTAAAAAGCGGTAAGAACACAGAATCAGTTAAGATAAACAAACGAAGGGATCTAACCGTAAAGAACTCGAAACAGGTATACATAAAAATCAAATAAACAAAGACAGTTCCAAAACCCCGGATGAAACCAAAAATAATTAGGGTTTTCATCGTGATGAATCAGGTAGAAGAAAACATAGATGAACCATTTAAACATAGTAAAATCATACGACAACACTGAAAGTCAGAGGAGGAGTGATTTAAAAAAAAGGTTAAGAAACCCTAATCTTGAAGACGAAGAGTCATTTTGAAAAAAATCGGGAAAAATCTTTGAGGAAAACATCAAATGCTCACAATAAAGACAGATCTAAGAGAAATCGAAAAATCTTTAGGGTTAGGGTTTCGGAGAACCCAGAGAAGGTGAGAAAACCTTAAAATATTACCGGTTTTAGCCGGAAAAGTCATAGATCTTACTCGAATAGCCATGGATGGCTGGAAAATGGCATGAGAAACCATGGGAGGCGAGTAAACCGCCTCTGGTTCACTTGAAGGCCTCAAAACGATGACACATGTTCAAGAGGGAGCCATAAGGCTGGTAGGTGGTGAGACCACCATGGATCCACGCAAGGAGATGGCCGGAGAAGGTGGATGAAGTTCATCGGAGAGGAGGGGAAGAGAGAAGGTTATAGAGAGAACCAGAGATAGAGAGAGATATGNAAATAGTAGATAATTTCTAAAAATAATTTAAAAAATGCTAAAATGATTTACAATACATAATTAGTAATTTAAAAATACAGGATCCAATTTTATGCATATAAAACCTAATTAAACATTAAAAGGGCTAATATTACAATTATGTGCAATTTAGCTTTAAAAATACTAAATATAATTATCAAAATATGTAAAAATTACCTGAGCCATATTTTGCCATAAATATAGAAATCTAATAGGTGAATTATCAAAATAATAATTTTAGAAATAAGTATTGGGGATTTTATGGATAAAAAGGGTGAAATAAATCAATTTAAAGCTTTTAAAATTATGAAAAAAATAATAAAACCCTTGGACATGCTTATATATGCATACATATGCTATTTTGAAGGTATTTTGTATATTGAAAATATATAGAGAAAAATTGGGTATCAACAGCTGCCCCTCAGCGGGTTCCACCTAGGGTTGAGGGCTTGTACCAATGGGTCCAGAAAATTTTGGACGTTACTACGCCTGAAACCCGCACGTGGAAAGAACTATCCGTGAAATACGGGTGAAGGCCAAAAATCATGGTAAGTTGAACTCATCTTGTTTTTACCTTTTCACATGGAAAGTTGTTTGACTTTTCTCTCCTGTTGCATTTAGGTCTACCCCAGGGCTCAGTTGTCGTCCTCGAGGAGGACATTTTGGCTAATCCTGCTGATGCGGCGAGGTTGCTGCAGGAGGCTTTACACAGACAGGCGTCTCCGGGCCTACTTTTGGTGCGAGTGCTTCTTCCCGGAGTTCCCGGTCAGAGAACAAGCAACCAAAAAGAAGCATTCTTCTGCGGTCGGGGGAAAGAATAAAAGGGCAAAGAACGCGCCCCCGAGTCATTTTCGGGAGTTGTGGTGACGAGCCCCCTGCCCGGGCCGGTCATAGAGACAATGATGATTGACGGTGATGGGGAAGCTAGGGAGGAGAGAGCTTCTCTACATAGAAGACGACGACCTTCTTCAGCTCAACAAACTGCTCAACCTGTTGAGTTAGTTACACCAACCGATGATAATGCCTCGACGCTCTGGGGGGAGTTTGAGATGGTGGAAACCGCCAACTCCCGTTTCCGGATCTCAGTCGCCGTTTGTTGGTTTGGTTGGTTTAAAAATCGAGATTTAAAATCCGACTTTGTTGGTTTTGTTTGGTTAATAGATTTAAAAACTCGACACTATTGATTTAATTTGGTAATTAAAAAATCCGAACCAACCCGATGTATGTACAACCCTAATTGTCACGAAGACGTGTGATTTCAAGAGTTAAGTTGTAACCTACTTTTACCAAGTATCCCTTTTCCGTCTTATCAAATAACCAAACTAGGAAATTAAAAAGAAAAAAAGGAGAATAAAGCACTGTTTGGTGTAGCAAAACCCAAAATCGGATCCAATCACCTAAATTGGTGGTGACGTGCGCCGTTAACGCACTAAAAAGGAATTCTCCCGCCAAGCAATTAGCAATATTAATTAATAAACATTAATAAAGTTGTAAGATCCAAAGCAATCCTTCCAAGCCAAAATTCTTCAATGGAGCTTCCGGTGATCGATCTCGCACCCTATCTGGAGAAAGAGTTGGATTCCCAAATTAAGAGTCTGTGCTGTGAGGTGAGTCGAACCCTAAAGGAAACTGGAGCTTTACTGGTGAAGGATCCAAGGTGCACCGCTGAAGATAATGACAGGTTTATTGATATGATGGAAAAGTACTTCCAACAGCCTGAAGAGTTTAAACGCCTTCAGGAGCGCCCTCATCTACACTATCAGGTACCGAGCTCCAATTTCAATTTGCTTTCCACCTCTTTGGAATTTCTAATACATATGCAAAACTTATGAATGCTTTTATGAATTGAAAAACTATTGACATTAATTGACGCTGCTCAATTTTGGGGTTATTTTGTTTCTATGAACATCAACAGGTCTCACATCATCCCATCAAAATGTTGTTGTTTGAGGTTTGAAGCAATGAGATTTAAGAGAATCACTTGAAATTCCAACAACTTGTGACTCTGGCATGTTTCCTCAAATCAGATTGACCATCTTACTAGTATTATTTCAAGTCTCAAGTACTGATTTTAGCTAAAATACTAAAGGGGGCATTTTTTTTTACTCCAATTTGACCATGTTTAGGATTGGTTGTCTCGAGTACCTATAAGACATACTAGTTGGGTCTGGCAAAGGCAATGAGGTACAACCCAAGCCTAACTTCCTTCCTCCAGATTATGAGAGGCCCGAGGCTCAAGTCCACAGCAACCCAACCACCTAGTCTCTAGCAAGCTCCAGCTTCCCTACTATTGTGAGGAAATTAGGGTGAATGAGATAATACATGGGTTTTATGCTAAAGCAAACACTTCTCGCTGTGTTTGACAGCTTGTGCTTTTACCTGGATAGTCTAAATAATGTTGCCAGTAAAAACTAGCATTTTGTTGGGTGAAATTCTCGCCTCATCTGAGATTTTACTTGAAAAACCAAGTTGGTTTAGTTACTACATTCTCCATTTTCTGCATATCTTTAATGTCAAACTGGCAAGTAAAAATAGCCTTTTCTCGTGTGATCTTGTCGCCTCATGAGACAATTTACTTGAAAAAACCCCGTCAGTTAAAATCTTTATAAAAAACCTGTTGGTTACACTCCACTGTTTGGATTTTTCCAAAATAAAAGGAAACTGAAGTACTTTTTGAGAATTATTAAAGCTTTATAAACAGAGCAGAAAGATTGTACCAAAAATTACATACAGCTCAGGTCCTTTACATAACTGTAGGAAGCTGGGATATTCTATCATCCTATCTGCTGTAGTGACATCTTCTAGTTACACCAAAAAGCCAAAAAGATATACATCTATGCTTCATTGTATGAGAATAGTATACACTTTCATATATACAGCGCAACCCAATTTGTAACTTTTACCTTCTTTTTGGAAATGGAGATACCCAACTAACCTAAATAATAAGAACTTCCCCCTTGACAGTGGTATATGTTGTATATGTGAATCCTAGATGTGAAAATATACAGAATTCCTCTTTGAGTCTATGAAAGGTATAAAAAAAGAAAAAAATGCAAAGAAAAGAATAGGCTAGGCATAACTCAATATGCTGATATTGAAATGAAAAAAAAAGAGCTAATTAGATACTCATATATGCTCTCAAAACATTTATGGCCACACACCATGAAACTGCCCCCAATTCATGGATGAAAACTGAAACTTGTAACTGTGGAGATACTTTTATTATGTGGAGTCCAAATCAGCTTATCTGGTTCCTCTTCCTGGAATCTAAAACTGCCAAGTGCTTGAAAGAGTTGAGATACCCTTTTCAGTTCCCAGTCATTGCAATTCCTCCGACAACAAAAATTCCAACCAGTATTTGATCTACATTGTACCAAAGCTTGTGTATCCTTCACCATGCTGTATATTTCGGGGAAATCCTCCTTTAGAGGAGAGTGTGCCAACCATGCATAGAGTTTTAGTAATATTACCCGCCAAGATCTTGATGTTACACACATAATCATCCCACAGACTTCTAATATATTTCCATACACTTACTCCAATCCATAAACTGATGTCTTTGTTCTGCTACACCAATTGTTATCCATCCCATACTTCTTAGTTATGATTACTTCCATAGAGCGTCTCTTTAAGGTTGAACCTCCATAACCATTTGAATAGAAGGCTTCCGTTATGGTATCTGACAATTTCTCACCCCATCCCTCCCTGTTTTTTACTCAGTCTTACAGTTTTCTAATTGACCAAATGAAAACCCTTCTTCTCCTTGTTACCTCTCCAAAGAAATTCACTCCTTAAACTATATAGTCTCTTTTCCACTTTGGACGGTACTGGAAATAAAGACATACTGTAGGTATAAAGCGGGTCCAACCAACCCCCAACCCGAAGAGAGATATTGACGCTTTCAATTATAACCTTTTTTTACATCTCTCCAGAATACTCTTCCATATCACTGATGCTTTGGATTTTGACCCCAAATGGAGTCCAAGGTATGCTGTAGGAAGACTCCCAGTTTGTGATAAAATTTAACTTCTCATCACTGACACGTAGCAATGACACAATGCATGCCTCATTTGAATTAAAGTGAGACAGACGCTGATCAACCACCTTACCAGAAACATTTTGACGGGTTGGAAAACCATCTTTTAATCTGTGATGACTCTGTTTCTTCTTGGATATGCCTTCATCAGTGTCAGAAGCATCGTCGGCTTCAGCTCTCCTTGCCGGTATTCTGAAATTTCGATCATCTTCCACCCAAATTGTAGCTTCAATTCGCAGAAGTATAGAATAAATGAACTGCCCTACCTTAACTTCCACCCTTGCCGAAATCGTCCCATCAGTCTACATGATGCAAATACGAGCCCATCGGCTACGGGTTCTATATCTAGTATCATTATCCAGCTCTAAACACCCCCCACCCCACCCCCCCACTTTCCCCCACAAAATTCCCTATTTCATGAAATACCTCTTCCAACCACAAAGGTAAAGGAATCCTAAACTACGTAACCGAGAAATGGTTTGGTTTCTAATCTGCTCTATGAAGTCCCACTAGTCCAGATGCCATCTGCGGTTGTTTCGATCCCAATTGCCCATCTTGATCCTTTCCGCTTCCCTTTTGGATGGGAATCGAAAAGGAAGAAGCCCCCATTCATTTCTATTATCTTGACCTTCCCCAGAACCTTCCAACTTCTACGAGCATAGCCTTCAACTTCTGAGACTAGAGGGATCTCAGTGGTGATATCCCCCAGTCTACCCACGAGACACCTCTCCAAGAACTGTAGCTTTGGTTTCAAAATCTCTTCCTAAAATTCTACGAACTTTGAGCCGCTTGTCGGAATTGTCTCTGGCCTCACCCAGCTTTAGGCCAAGCCATCTCTCTGCTAGTTCCTTGTAAGATTTATGAGGTTGAAGATTCCGCAGATTCTGGTGACCCCATCCATTTTTTTCTAAGAAATTCTTAATCTTCTTCTCAACATCAACCCTCCCTGCATTTTGCACTATTTCTGGGATGATAACGGTACTTGTCTTCTTTCCTTGAGTTGCCAAAATCCTTAGGTGTCTGCCAAAATTGTTTTAGTTTTGAAAGGCTAGTGAGAGTCCATTGATTTCCTTAGAAAAGTATGACTCATTAATTAATAATTCCAAGACTAAATGCATGAAAGGAATATGATTTTATAATATGAATTTCTAATAACCCAAGTTATTGCAATGTTTGCTTAACTTAAGCCTTACGTGCTTGGTCTTAAAATCTACATACCCAAGGTTTTGCTTTTGCATAATTGAAAGAGCACCAGTAATACCTTCATTTGATGATTCTATTTTCTGTATTAACCAATGTTATCAAAGGCGAAAAACGCGAAAAAGCTCTAAGGTCCATTGGGGCTTTAAGCCCAAAGCGCAAATAAAGTGTGAGCTTTAATGAAAAAGGGCGCAAGGGAGAAACACATACAAATATGTATATGTAGTCCAAGACGAATAATTATAAGCATGAATAACAAAAATGTGGAAAAGAAATTGAAACAAAAATTACAATAAAGTGAAATATCAATTGTTTCATGTTGCCTCTTCAGGATTATGCTATATGACTAAGAAAAGTATGCCTTAAAGCCTTGATGACGACACTAAAGTGTCCGCTAAGTGACCAGAAGTGCTCAACATGTTTTGAGTCTCGCTTCAGGGATTAAGCACGCTTTAAGCGCGGCTTTAACAACTCTGGTATTAACTAGGAATATCTAAGCTTTCTAGCAAATCGGTTGAAGGGATCCCAAATATTAGCTAGATAAGCATAGAACAAGATGCTATGGACTTATAGGCTGCCAATATGCTGTACAGAAGCGTATGGTAAAAGATTTTGGAACTAATAGGGCTGCAGAACATCTGGCTTTCATTTGGAAAGGGCGTTGAATAGTAAAAGTTTCTGGTTTCTGCTGCTTGTACTACATGTTTATTCTTGACAAACTTCTTTTGTTTTCATTATCTTTCTCAGTGTTTTGCTGTCAATTATGTAGAAGCGACATCTATTATTATCAATTAATAGCTTGAAAAAAAGGATATGTTCATTCGGTTCAATAAATTCCAACTCTACTCATTAAGCTTCTTATTTGGAAGACTACTCATGTCAATATCTGACAGGTCGGGGTGACACCTGAAGGAGTTGAAGTCCCTCGTAGCCTGGTTGATGAGGAAATGAAAGAGAAGCTTAAAGCAATGCCTAAAGAATATCAACCATCTAGTCCATCTGGACCAGATCCTAAATGGCGATATATGTGGAGAGTTGGTCCTCGTCCGGAGATTACCCGATTTAAGGTTTCTTCACTCATTTCCCCATTTCAATCATGTTATTCAAAGATTTGATTGATCAGTGACATTCCTTAATTTTAGTCACCACCAATGGATAAAATTAGTTCCGTAAGTACTAAAAATTGCTGCTAGTAAGTAAACAAGCATTACACTCTTGTAGGAACTGAATTCAGAGCCAGTAATACCAGAGGGCTTTCCTGAATGGAAATGTACTATGGACTCATGGGGATATAAGATGATATCTGCTATAGAGGTGGGTCATAAGCATTTGTATCTTTTATTTATGCTACTGGTTTGACAATTCTGGAATGTGACTGCTGGCTCTTTTTCAGTGCGTTGCTGAAATGGCTGCCATTGGCTTTGGTCTGTCAAAGGATGCATTTACTTCCCTAATGCAGCAGGTGACTATTTTTTTATGTCAGTGGCAATCTTTTTTATTGCATCTCCAACTGATCACTGTGTGTTTTTGGATGTGAAGACTTAATAATTATTGTTTGTCGGTTATGATGCTGGTTTGTGCTAAGTTACTCGGACATGGGTGTGGGTGTCCGACGGGGGTGCAGATCTAGAGGTTTGATCCTTCGAGATATAAATTCTATGATTCGGGGATACGGATCCTAGTACGGATATGGGTGCGGGGATCCTACTAAAAATAATTCAATAAAGAAAAATATAAAATATCTCTAAATTATGAGAAAATTTTGTGGAATACATGTGTATAGCTTGTAAAGTACGGATTTCTTTTTCATTCTCAAGTTGTAGATAAGTAAAGGTTTGATTTCTTAGATAAGATATACTATTTTCTTCAAATTTACCCTAGTTCTGGTTCTGATTTCGGGAATCAAATTGTATCTCGTCTTGAATCCGTCAGTCAAAGTACCTAAAATTGTTTGATCAGATCCAGTATGGATCCCATACCCACACCCATGCTAGTTTTGTATCGACACGGGTGCGACACCAAAACAGCCCTGTCGGGCAACTTAGGTTTTGTGTTATAACTCAAGAACTCCTCCTTCACCCCTAAAGCAAAGGGAGGCCATGTGCTGAATTACACTTAAATTCGCATGCAATGAATAATGGATATGCCTAAAATTGTTCAAGTGTGACTGATTCTTGTTAGGTGTGAAATTGATATATGATCGGATTCATCAAGAGCTTGAATACATTTTTTCATGTGAAAATGGTGAGATTTTACTCATGTTTCTAGTATTACTTCTCTAGCTTACAAAGATTGTTGCATCGCTTCACTTGTTTTCAACTTGTTCTGTGGATCTATTACATTAATACTACATCTTTATCTTTGCTAGAATGTATCAGAATAAGAAGCAAATGTTGATTCATATCTAAAAATATGGCAACTGATCTCCCTGCTTTTCTTATTTCAGTTTCTGTTATCATTGTGACTTAAACATCCCTTCCTTTTGTTCGAATGACTTTTCGCTGCCTCCCTTACATCCATAGCTATTACCACCGTGGCTTTCCTTTTCTGTCTAATGAGCTTCATATCATTGACATACAAAGAACATTTTGGATTAATAGGTTTCCTGGTCTGCAGATTTTGTGTGGGATTATGGGGAATAGTGATTCTCCCCTTGTTTGGTTGGGTTTAAGGGCATGGAGTTGAATAGGCTAGGGTCTGGGCAGATTCGAATTCGTATAATCTATGACGTATTTGGTAAAGTTAGCATCAAATTACTCAATATTATTTTAAAAGGCAAATTATATTTCTGGAAAGCACTAATCGATATTCTAATCTTGCCCTTAACTTCATGAATTGAACACATGATGCATGATTATTGTTCCCACCCTTCGTCTCTCACTGAAAATCCTCTGTATAGTCTGGGTCCTCATAGTGAGTAGTGAAATGCCTCATATCAGATTGAACAAATTTAGTAATAAGAATCATATTAGTGATATGACAACTCTTAACATTCCCTTGCTTTACGAGCAGAACAACAACAACAACATCATACCCAGTATAATCCCACGGGTGGGGTCTGGGGAGGGTAGCGAGTATGCAGACTCTACCCTTATCTGGAGGTAAAGAGGCTGTTTCCGATAGACCCTCGGCTCAAGAAAAGGTGGAAAGGAAGAATAGGGGAGAAGAAAAGGAGGAAAGAGGGGGAGAAAGGCGATAAGCAAAGAGGAGAAAAAGTAGCATCAAATAGTAACCATCAGGGAGCAGCAATATCCGGTAAAAGAGGAGAAAAAATAGCATCAAATAGTAACGCTCAGGGAGCAACAATCCAACAATCCCAGTAGCAATTTACAAAAACAAAGGACGTGGTTGCAAAGTACCAGATATGCTTTACGAGCAGAGTGTTGCTTAAAATGGTTTAGGGCAAGGAAAAAAATTTGGACTAAAACAAACTGATTTGTTTTTCTGAAAGGAAAATTTGCAAGTCTTTCTTTATTGATTCAAGCATGTTAAATGGTACTTGGGACCCAATATCAATGTTCTTGGATGTACGAGCATAATATGCTTTCTGAGCTAAAAATGTTCTGAAAATGCTATTTTGTTATCATTATATTTCTTTCTTAACATAGGGAACCAATTTTTTTTTTTCTACTTTTATGTAGTTCCTTCCTTTTTGACTACTTCCAATTTCCAGGGACCACATCTGCTTGCTCCAACGGGAAGCGACCTGAGGCGTTATGCCAAAGAGGGAACAGTATTTGCAGGATATCACTATGACCTGAACTTCCTTACAATCCATGGGAGAAGTCGATTTCCTGGTCTAAGTATTTGGCTTAGAAATGGGCAAAAGATGCAAGTGAAGGTTCCTGTAGGATGCCTCCTTATTCAGACAGGAAAGCAGGTATAAATAATTTGATGCACTTCCTTATTTTCATGACAGAGTATTAGTGCATTTAACATGTAAATCTGCTAGCTCCAGCAATCAACATAAACAGGGTCTTAAAGTGATAATGCAATCACTATGCTAGACTTTCCTTAGTTTTCCAAGACCCTAAATTACAGTAAAAACCTTAATAGGCCATTGTTCTCTTGATACACACTTGTTTAAATCATCAAGAGTTCTACTTTGGCATGCAAATTCTACAGGAAAGGGCTCTGCATCATGGGTTTCGCTCACGATTGGTAAACATGATTAGTTTCATTTAAGAAGAAACAACCGAAGATATAGTATAATAAACTGTGGTCCCATGTTGTCAATTTTATTGGAGAAAAGTTAAACAAATGACATGTTTGATCGTTTTCTGTGTTTGAATAAGTTCTAAATATGTACACTTTTTATAAGACCATTGGAACAAGTTATTCTCAGTTCAATATTAGCACTGCAGAAGTGTCTGGCGCAAATGTAATGTTACTATGCTAAATGTTCCAATCAAGATATATTGTTAACTTCGCAGGAACCGTATCATAGTAGTTTCATAGGTCCATTCATTTTGTTAGTATATCCCTATTTACCTTGACATATTGATGGAAGTTTCAGCTGCGACAGTTTTTGATTATCTCAGATAGAATGGTTGACTGCTGGAGAATGCATGGCTGGCATGCATGAGGTTGTTGTAACTAATAGGACCACTGATGCAATTAAACGAGCTCTGGAGCAAAATCGCAGTCTGTGGAGAGTATCCTCAACGGTGAGTGAGTACGGTTTGGCTGAACCTTTTTTTGGGGTCAATTTTTTTGTTTTGATTCCCAGTATAACAACTGCAATCGTTAGAAGGTTGACTTCTTGAAATTGATGCTAACTTGGACTTGTTCTTCTTTGCTAGCTATTCGCACACATAGCATCAGATGCAGTGCTAAAACCTTTAGGGCATTTTTCGGACGCTCCTCTTGCAAGCAAGTATCCTCCCATTTGTGCAGGTGAATTTGTTGAACAAGAGCTTGCTATCATAAATCTTAAAGGTGATATGGAGCTTGATAATCCCTATTCAAGATAGTAAGTGGATACCTGTAGCACCCAAGGAGCTATAAAAGAAGCAAGTTGAAATTACATTCTTTTGTCAATTCGTGTCCAGTAAACAAGCACAAGGGCAGAAGAGCCTTTATCAAGGTGCAAAGTCTAATTGTATCATCAATGCAGTATTTACTTTGTTCAAGACTCGAAGTGATTGGGCTTATTTCCCAATTGACTGCAATATGTGCTATATTTGTTTTAGAGAAAATGACACTTGGAGCTCCTTTTAAATATTTAATGACCAAAATGCTCCCCTTTTTGAAAAAAGACAAAACATGTCTCTTTTGAAGATTCTAAGACCAGGCTGCCCCTTCTTTCTATGCCTAGGGGCTGGGCTTCACCAAAGGTCTTTTTTTTTTTTGGTTTTCTTTCACGTTTTTTTTTTTTCGTCTTTTTTTGTTTTTTTATTTTTGTCATATTTTGTTGTTATTCTTTTCACTATGTTTTTTTTCTTTCTAATAAAATTATGCACTCTTATTCAGTTTTTCTTATTTTTTGTTGTTATTTTCTTTTACTTTTTTATTCTTTTTTTATTCTTTCTATAGTAACCCCTCGCTCTTTATCACTTATTCTTTTCCTTTTTCATCTTAATTTTTCTGTTATTTTTTAGTAAAAATTTTTCACCAAAAGTTATCACTTTCTTTCACTATTATTTTTATTTACTTATTTAAATAAATAACCGAGTCTTAAAATTTGTATTGCGATATTTTCTACATAATCAATACTCGATTAGGATTACCGAGAGTTATCATGTTACTTGTTTTATTCTTTTAATTTTTTATTTAATATTTGTTGATAACTTTTTTTTTGTAGTTTGCTAAGAAATTTTATATTTTATTTTTAAAATAAAATCTGTTCGTTCAAAATAGCTATCACTTTTTTCCTTATAATTCTTATTTTTTATCTTCATTTTTCCTATTATTTTTTTGTAAAATTTCTCCGTTAAAATTTTATCACTTTATTTCACTTTTATTTTTGATTTTGTTCTTTCTAGATAAATAATATAGTCCTAAAATTAGTAATAGAATACTTTCTATACAATTATTAATCGATTATAGTTATCGATAGTTACAGTGTCATTCTTTTTTATTGTTTAATTTTATATTTGTAGATGATTTTTGCAATTTCTAAAGAAATTAAGGCTTTTTCTTAAAATCAAAATTTTTTCACCTTTTTTTTTTTTTTTTTTTTTTTTTTT